TACTGGACAAGAGCGATAGTGAGAAGTATGCCATTCTTGAAAGGTTTTAGACTAACAGAAGGTGGGAGCTGGCAAATCCTACTCAGGCTGTCCTATGATCCAGCCCCCAGCATGAAGTAAGGACACGCCAGATCTGGTGCCTCATCTTTCCTGGCATCAACTGGTCTCAGTTTCCAATTCTTATAGGTTGTCCTACACACACACACACACACACACACACACACACACACACACACCTCACAAAGACAACATTAATACATTTTTTAATAAATAGGGATATCTAGATAAAAACAAAAAAGTCTTAATCTGTAAAAGTACAATTATAATTTATATTATGAATTGCTAGTCAGAAGTGTATCTGCATAGCTACAAGCACCTGCCCAATGCTCTTTCCCAGAGACAAATTCTGTTTTTCACTACAGAATTTTAAAAAAAATGCACTCAAAATAGCAGTTTCTAGCTTTGATCATTTAAATTTTTATCCTCCACTGACACCTTCTTTAAAAATATATAAATTAATAAATACATCAGATAAGACCTACAGAGGCTATTCAGTTTCAAACAACTCGAAGGCATATTTGAATGGTTCTGGCTAAGGATCCTCCACTAAGATGAATGTTTGGATAAAAGTGGTGCTTCTCTGGCCTGCTTCATCTCCATAACATTCTGAGTTAGGATCCAGGAGGAGGAAAGGAATAAGCACGTGATTTCATTCTGGAATAACTTTCTCAGAAGGCAGCAGAACTCTGTGAACTAACAAATATTTCTATAGCCACTACTTTTACATTTACAATGAGCTTTCTTCTTGTCTTTGGAATGTTTCTTTGGGGAAAAATATTTTAAATCCTCCTGAATCGTTTTATTATTTCCATTCGTCGCCTCACCTTTTGAATCTCTACTTTGGGGCTTATCTTTGAGATTGTATTTTTCTGTTTGATTACCCACAGTTCCAATACAGTAAAAAGTTTATCCAGACAGAACTAGTCAAAACTATGGAAATGGCTATGTAAGTGCAGTTCTCTAATTTAACGCTCGTCAGGTCATGAAGGGAACTTCCGATGTTATGCTACCCAGAACCCTCATGGCCTTGGAGATAAAGTCTCTGCATCTTATTTTTATTCACACTCCTAACTTTTACTCTGTTTCCATTTTTGTTCTCCCAGTTCTCTTCATTTCTCGGGTTTTTGCCTACCACTTACACAATGATATATATACCCTAGACCAGTGGTCGGCAAACTCATTAGTCAACAGAGCCAAATATCAACAGTACAAGGATTGAAATTTCTTTTGAGAGCCAAATTTTTTAAACTTAAACTGTATACGTAGGTACATTGTTATTAACTTAATTAGGGTACTCCTAAGCTGGCCTTTGCTAAAAACGTTTTCAATCTGAGGGGTTGATCTCAGTGAACGTACCCCCACTTCTTCTAACGCCACTTCTTCAAAATAGACTCGCCCAGGCCGAAAACCGACTTCTGTGCATGGACCATGAAGTTTCAATCGCACTGTACGTGCGCGCCCACACGTGGTATTTTGTGGAAGAGTCACACTCAAGGGGCCAAAGAGCCGCATGTGGCTCTCAAGCCATGGTTTGCCGACCACTGTCCTAGACAATTATATATATCCTAGACATTATCTCCCAGATAATTATATACCTGCCCAATTTTACTAAATTAAGTATATATGTATAATTTTGCTCATTTCCCCCTTCCCTAAGAAATTACATTAGTTTAGTATTTTTCTTCTTTCTCCTTTATCTGGTAAAGACCTGAAAGGGACAAAAGAGGAGCCATATGAATGTGTATCTGGTGAGAAAACTTTCCAGAAGAGGAATCAGCAAGTTCACATCCTTGAAGAGGAGCATGGCATGACTGGCAGGGATTGAGCAAGGACAAAAGGGTGGGAAAGATGAAGTCGGAGACCTTGCAAACATGTAAGGGCTTTGGCTTTCACTCTGAGTGAGATGTAAAGCCATTGGAGGATGCTGATCAGCTTCAACATTCAATTTTAAGAGGCCCGCACAGGTAGCCATGTCTGATCAACAAAGATGGAAAGGTACAAGAGTGGAACCACACCTTCATTGGAAGTGATCCCAGCAAAGGAATGTGTTTGCCTGGGTGTCAGTACATTTAATTTTAAGATGTTGAGTGCACCAGACTGGCTGGAAGGGTAATAATGTTTTGAAGGAGCAAAATATATCGAGATTTGTTAGAAGGAATAAAATAAGTTAATTAGCAAATCTAGAGAAAAGTGTACAGTCCCTGAGTCCTTGGGGAGAAACGGATAATATGGGGAGAGGGATTCTGCTGAATGTTTACTTCTTGCCACCACAAGAGTGACATGAACTAGACCACTCTTGCAGCCTGACCAGATGGAGGAAACGGTTGGCTGACTGCGCAAGTGCCACTCCTGGTTGTCTTGGTTACGAGCATATCATCCAAATGAAGGGAATGGTAATTAGCAGTGGAGCAACAGGTGACTTAGCTAGCATTACCTTGGAGGAAGGTGCTGTGGCAGGAAATAAAGGAGGACAGGGGACAAGGAATTCACTGTAAATAATAAGCGCCATGTTGAGGCCGCCTGTCCAAGAATCTCTCAGTGTGACAGGACTTTTCATATCTCCCATGAACCTTATTCAGCCTCAGTGTAGAAAACCTGCCACCTTACCACCTGTGTCCCGTCTGATGCTGAACAGAAAGGCGCTCTAGGGAGAACAAGATGTGGGTAAACAAATCGTCTTTACAAATCTTCCTTCTTCTTAGAAAATGAAAGAGAACATTCTGATACGCACACAAGCATTTTAGCATTAATTTCCTTGTAAATCTCTGTGGGTACATATTCCCAGACATCAGCTAAGCATTATTTTAATAGAAAAAATTAAATGGAAAATAAATCATTTAATAGAATTTATGCTCATGGTTCTAACTGTATAAACCTTCATAATAAATTCATATCTCCCAAGTAATATAGGTAAATTTTAAGGACTGAGAATAATACTCTCATTATAAGGATTTGGTGGGTTGATCTGAAACAACTCAGAACTTCTTTGGAAGTCTGGCCATGAAATTAACTCCCTCTTCCTTGTCTGGAGGGCTTCCCTGGGTTAGTGAAACCCCAGGAAGAAGCCTGCACACTTACTGTGATGGTCATGGCACAGCTTCCCCCAATTTGGAGCTATCAAAAGCCACGAAGAGTAACAGTATAACAGCTGCGGCTCCTCCTGAAAACATTCAGAGCCAATTTGATTTTTATTCTTCTTCCTGGCACAAAGATACTTTGGAAGCTATAATTTGGACATTCCAATATCGGATTTACAGGAATCTTAAAATGCTTTGTGGGTTGGATTGAGGAAATAAAGGAAACAAGAAACCGTATTTCTGCTTCTAAAGCTGATCTTGTGCCACCTGGATAGAGCATCTGTGAGAGGGAAATGATGCACAGTGTAGATTTGGGCCAGCAAAATGGGAAAGTCGATTATTTTGTTCCATGTGGGTTCATCAGGGGAGGAAGAAGATGATCTAGTTAAGGAGCATCAGGAGGGAATGCCAGGTCTGAAACAGTCACTCACAAGTGGTGACCATATTGGTCCTGCACTACAGCAAGGGCGGAAGTTCAGTTATTAGCACAAGCAGGTGGCATTTTAATCTTTATTCCTGCCAAAAGAATAATCAACACTTAAAAGCTTTAAAATTGCCGAAACCGGTTTGGCTCAGTGGATAGAGCGTCGGCCTGCAGACTGAGGGGTCCCGGGTTCGATTCCGGTCAGGGGCATGTACCTGGGTTGCGGGTGCATCCCCAGTGGGGGATGTGCAGGAGGCAGCTGATCGATGTCTCTCTCTCATCGATGTTTCTGACTCTCTATCTCTCTCCCTTCTTCTCTGTAAAAAATCAATAAAATATATTTTTTAAAAAAAAGAGCTTTAAAATTATTCATCTTCAGGTACTTGCCCAAACATCAGTTCCTTCTGTTAATGTTTGTGCCCATAGGAAGAAGTTCCTCATAGCTAAATAAAGCCCACAGGTAGATAATTACCACAGCATATTAGAGATGCTCTGTTTAAAGGAATCCTATATAATAAAAGGCTAATGTGCAAATCAATGGAATAGCAGAACAACTGGTCGCTATGATGCACACTGTCCACCAGGGGGCAGACGCTCAATGCTGAGCTGCGGTGACTTGGCAGCAGCGGTTGTCTGGGTGATGCACTTCAGAACCAGAGAGGAGGGAGCCCTATTCTTGGGTGCATCACCCAAGAACCACCCTCTAGCCATCCAAGATCCCTTGGGGGATGTCGGAGGGCTGGTTTTGTTGGAGGCCAGGCCAAGGGACCCCAGCTGCCAGAGGGATCCTGCTTACTCCGCAGATGCCCTTCAGGCCACGGCTCTGCCCCAGGGTGGTCAGCTGGGGAGGGACTGGTGGGAGGTTAGATCCAGCCCCTTTTGACCAGTTGTGTCCCACCATCCACCTTCTAATTAATTTCCTTTTAACATGCATGAATCCATGCACTGGGGCACTAGTGTTATTCATAATCCGCAAAATAGCCCTACCCAAAAGATCCTAGTATTCTCATTCTACAAATGAGGAAACACCTCAGGTAAAAAAAAAAAATCATCAAAAGGTTACCCAGCATATACAGAGCTGAATTAGGATTTGAACTCAGGTCTGTCTTGCTCTGATCCTGTGCTCTTTGTGTTTGTCAGGATACAGAGTGGCAACTCAGCTCTGGTTTGGTTAGCAGTTACTTTAACACCTTATTTTGAAAGCTAAGATGTTAACTCTTAGAAGAGGGTGATGTATGTTAAGACAGCTAATGCAAACTAGGTGAAAATATGACCTATAGGTGGGCAGAGCCCTGGTGTTTGGTGTGGCTAAAGTTGATAGGATGGAGCTGATCTAAAGGGTTTTCTTTATCTCAGCCTCAAGAGTTTAACCTGCAACTAAACAAAATAAGAGATTGCTTGGCAGGAACTCAAAATTTCCCCCTTCCAGATGTACTTACATTTTAACAGGCATTCACCAAGCTTGAAATACCTTCAGGACACAAACAGATGAATCACCTGTCAAAAAATTCAAGAACCTATGGTCAGCAGCTGGGGAAAATATTTTAGGAGAAAATATTTTTATTGAATCATACTGCTGACATATATAGGGAAATGTATAGTTTATTTCTATTAATAGTGGTTTGTTAAAAGGAAAAGGAGACATGAGAAACATCTCAGGATTAAATAGTTAGGCTTCAACCAAAGTAAAGATGTCAACCTCACAATTAAACATACATGTGTGCCACAGGAATCTGATGCCAGTGCCATGATCTAAACATGTCTATGATTTCTAAAATAAAGTACTAATTATGACTCAAATAGGGTTCAACACTGTAGAGCAGTGGTTCTCAACCTTGGCTGCACATTAGAATCACCTGGGAATCTTTTTAAAATCCTGATTTCTGGGCCTCATCCTCCGGAAATTCTGTTTCTTTGTTATGGGGTGGGGCCACAACATTAGTGAACTCTTTAATCTCTGCCACTCTCCATGGGCTGCTACCAATGAATCCTCTCTTGACCTTCTTTCTCGATATTTGTCTCTCCTTACATCTTTTCTCTCTGGGATTTCCTAATTGATACTCCTTTGCTCTCTGCTTAAAATCCCATTGAATTCTCCAAAAGATGATTACCATCTGTTGTGAAATGCCCCTGCTGGGAAGAGGTCTCAAGGTAGACCATGTCAAAGGCACAGGTCATAGGTAACTGTCTCTACTCAGATGTCAACCGCTGGTCAAATTGGATATGACCAGACTAGCTAGAACCCATGATAGCAAGTGGGTGACTTTTGGGTAAAGAATAACTAAAAAAGGGCTTATAAGAATGACAGGCACTTAGTGTGAACTATTAAATACATACTCCATGCAGACACAGCCTGTTCCACCTTCTTCATATTTGACTGCTGTTCAGCTGTCCTACTGAGCAGAACTGGGATGAGGGTGAGTCCAGAGAGACATGGGTGCAGAATTTTAGGAGGCACTCATACTCAGGGTCATACCAGGGTAGAATTGGCACCTAAGAGTGAATGCCTCCTTAAATTTTGTACTTTAGACACTTCATTTGCCTCACCCTACTCCTGGCCCTAGTACTGAGAGGCAGATCCCTTTGTTTTGATTTCCTTTTTACCTTCTATTACTTGAATTTTAGAGATGTGTCTACCACTAACACTGCTATTTTTAATATAAAAATCCAAAAGTTGTTAAAAAAAAAACCCAACAACAAACCTGTCCATAGGGTTGCATTTTATATGGAGAGGTAGCATTTAGTAAGTCTTCCTAAAAGAAGAAAAAAAAAATGATGACCAAACACAGGTTTTAGTTACCTTGAAAAGTGAAATAAAGTAACAATAAAAAACAGGTTGGGAATTTTCCCATCAATGCTGTTTCCTCCTGTATTGAAAGGAATATGGCAAATAGCCCATCTAGTTGTTTTCTGAGCTGAGCTCCAGTGAACTGCGCAGACTTGAACTCTCTCGCAGAGGTGAAGAAATATCATGTGGGTGAAGGGTCAAATATTCTTCACAGAACAGAAAAACAACGGTAATTTCTTCCCAATGGATTGCTTAAAATATGTGAATCATGCCCAGCCAGTGTGACTCAGTAGTTGAACATCGACCCAGGAACCAAGAGGTCACAGTTCGATTCCTGGTCAGGGCACATGCCTGGGTTATGGGCTTGATCCCCAGTAGAGGGCGTGTGAGAATCAGCCGATAGATGATGTTTCTCTCTCATTGATACTTCTATCTCTCTATCCTTTCTCTTCCTCTCTCTCTAAAAATCAATGGAAACATAAAGAAAGAAAATACTTGAATCATGTGGTCTGCCACTAGAATTATTTGCATCTAGGCCATAAGCTTTTGGCCATAACTGTTGAGTTCCTCCAATGATGAGCCATTATATGACAGCTTCAGGGCCACATCTCAAACATATTGGACTTGAAAGTAAACCAAATGGCAGTGATAGGGCAAGCACTACACACAAATGACAATTTTCTTCCCCAGTAAATTAAATGTGGATTCTAAAGCTTTCTTTGGCCAAATAAGACCTATAATGAATACACTGACCAGATCCAGATTCCTCTTTAGGCTTTCGTTCCTCTAGCAGGCTGGAGTGTTAGCTACTGAAGGCTCATGACTATGTCCCTATTTTGGGAATTGCCCTCAGCCTACTGAAACTGTGTTGCCCAAGTTTATGCCCCCTCCAAGGGAGCAGCCTGCATTCAATAGCTGGCCCATGCAGGGATACAAAAGCCTGAAACTCTTGCTTCTGCTACGGGCACCTCTAAAGGGTTATCCTATCTTTTGACTCTCAATAGCAGCGGTTCTCAACCTGTGGGTCATCAACCTGTGGGTCGCGACCCCTTTGGGGGTCGAACGACCCTTTCACAGGGGTCGCCTAAGACCATTGGAAAAAAACATATATAATTACATATTGTTTTTGTGATTAATCACTATGCTTTAGTTATGTTCAATTTGTAACAATGAAAATACATCCTGCATATCAGATATTTACATTACAATTCACAACAGTAGCAAAATTACAGTTATGAAGTAGCAAAGAAAATAATTTTATGGTTGGGGGTCACCACAACATGAGGAACTGTATTAAAGGGTCGCGGCATTAGGAAGGTTGAGAACCACTGCTCAATAGGATCCACTGGGGGTGTTGCAATTGCATCACAGTTCAACTTAATTCTCTGTCCAGACCTTCTGACCTTATGCCCTCAGAGGTATTGTTCCTGAATGTATTCCTCAAAAATATCTCTCACATGCAAAGCTCTGAATTTCAGTGTCTGTTTCCTGGGAACCCTGATCTGTGAAAGTTGGGACCAGAAGTGATCATGAGAAGTAGACTCTGAAATGAAATGTTGGAGTTGAATAACTCTCCTCCCCCCATAGCCACCCACCCCAGTTGAATACCAATGAAAATTTCAAGACTGGTAGTGGATGGAGGATGACTAATTCCTGACACACTATAGGAATGCAACTGTTGACATCTCATTGGTGGGGAACTGGAAGGTGATACTGGTAGAAGAAAATGTACTGAGAGGTGTAATATCTTATGTGTATAAGAGATTTGGAGCATGGTGTCTTTAGAACATTGCAGGACATTTAGCAGTATCTCTGGCTTCAACCTACTAGATACCAATAGCACTCCCTTACCCGCTTCTCTCCCCCACTCCCCATTGTGACAAACAAAAATGTTTCCATCATTGCTGTGTTCCCTGGGGGCAAACACCAACCTTCATTAGGAACCACTTATTCAGCTATATTCAGCTCTCAGGCCTTTGAGTAACACCAAGATATTGGAGTCTTCCCAGCTTATGTCCCAGACATCTTGAAGATGAGAAAAGCAACCCCCGCCCCCCCCCCCCCCCACTATGCCATGTCCAAATTTCTGTCTAGCAAAATCTGTAAACATACAAAATTTTTTATTGTTTTACAGCAGCATTTGGGGGGTGTTTTTTAATGTGGTAATAGATAACCAGAGCAAGGAAAAAATAGTAACTATAATGACTATGGAATTGAATGACTATAGCTGGAGGCAATCAATATATTGAAGAAGATAGTGAAAACAGGATGTTTTAATCACCAATTAAAAAGTGAGTGTGAAAGCCAGAGGTTCTCCTTGGCAGTACATAAAGAGACTCCCATCTCCCCAAAAGCCGAAGATCAGGTCCCAGAACTTAGAAAAGTTAGCAGAATTATAGAAGAGGCTACGTTCTCAAATTTGGCAAGTTTTCTATGCTAAAGACAGGGATATATTTGGAAAAGTGTGACTCTGAGATATGGCAAGGGGAAATCTGGTTTGATAACTCTCAGAAATCTTGCATCCCTAGATGCTCAACCCTCTGGGGCTGAAAAAGTAGTCCAATTTGCTCTGTTAGAGTTCTATTCTCTCCACTCTGCTTTGCCCTCACTTGTCTCCTTGGCCACCAGGTCAGTAACTAGGGCTAAGTCACCATTCAGCCCAGCTCTGAAAGTGCTGGGACTGATGAGAGTTTGAAAAGGGCTATACTATGAGGAACTGCAGGTTCTAGCCAACATGTGCCAGCAGAAATTGGGAGAACATGATGGGGACTGAATTCTGAGGCTGCTGGATCAAGCAGAGAAGAAGGTAAAGACAGGTAAGGGAGAGTTTATATAGGAGCACTTTTGAGTAATATAGTATTTAGCACCTTGAAAATAGCTTAGGTATATAGGGTGTGGGGAGTCAACTAGATTGAAGACCTAGAGGCAAGGTTGAGCCTGAGGAGTTTAGGGATGAAGAGGAAACAGATTCCACTAGAAACTCTGGTGGAGTGTATGTTGAAGAGTAGTGGAGGATTGGCTATGGTGAGAAATGAGGCGGCTTTGGAAATGTTTTGGTATTAGAGGTAGCCATGTACTGTTTCTAGCTCATTTACCCCCTCCCTGCACAACATTTCGTAGGCAACTCCAGTCACCAAGATAAAACATTCAGTGCATTTTAAGATTTCTCTGTATTTTTCCTTTATGTGTGTAGCTTTTATAACAATACTTAGTCCTCTATCATTGAAAGATAAAATTAGAGTATTTTTTTTTATTTGTTCTGTATCTCACAGCTCATCTATAAAAGGATATGAAGGGAATGGAACTTAGCATTCATCTCTGACCTGCTTCACCAGATTTTTCTCACTGGCTGAATACATTCCGATTTATAATCTATTATCATTTTGCAATTACAATAAATTAATTTCAATCTAGTTATTATTCTTTCTGTGCATTTTTACTAGGCTTTTCTGGGGGTACAACAGTAAAGGGCTTATTGAAATTTAGGATGGTCAATGTCTAAAACAATTATTAGAAATTATAGAAATTATTTCATTAGCCAAATTGGTTCTTCATCATATATTTAAAATATGCACCCCATTAATTCAATTCCTCAGGCTTGCATATTCTGTAGAATATATAATTTTTTTCACACTGAAGCAATGGTATTTTTATATTGTTTCCAGAGATGCCGGGGCTGCAAGACTCAATGTGTTTTCAGGTGAGCAGA